AAAAAAAAAAAAAAAAAAAAGACATAAAAGACTTGACAGCTAAATGCAACATGTGACCCTGAATTGGATCCTTTATTAGAAGAGCACCTTAGTGGGAAAATAGATGAAATTTGAAGATAATGTATATGTTAGGTTAGAAAATAATACTATAGGCTACACTAGGCACAATGCCCATGGGGTAGCCCTGCTCTGCAAGGAGCAGTAATAAATGTATATATATATATATGTATATGTATGTGTGTGTGTGTGTGTGTGTATATATATATATATATATGTATGAAAATAGCATTGTTATCAGCGTTATTTCCTGATTTTCATGACAGTACTGTGGTTAAGTAAATGAATGTTTTTGTTTTTAGGAAATAGAAGTATTTAGAGGAAAAAGGGCATTATATCTGCATATTACTCTCAAACATTTCAGAAACAAATTTTCTCTTATAAAGACATACATATATGTAGATAGATGGGTGAGGGTACGGGTGGGTAGGTAGGTTGGGTGGGTGCGTGGGTGGGTGGTTGGATGGGTGAGTGTATGGGTAGGTAAGCTGGGTGGGTGGGTGGATGGATGGATGGGTAGGTAGCTGGGTGGGTGGATGGATGGGTGGGTAGGTGGGTGGGTAGGCGGATAGATAGATAAATACGTAGATGGGCAATGCCCAGTCTAGATTAAGAATATCTAAGACTTGAAATTTCAGAGGAAGTATGGTTTAACTTGTCTTCAATATATGTTTTGTTCTTAGAGCTTAAATATTGAAGGCCTCCCATCCAAAGGCCCTATACCACCCTGGTTGGTAAGTGAAAGTTATTTAATTTCAGGCCCATATTTTCAGACTATATTTGCATGGCCATTAAAAACCGTCTCAGCCGGGTGCAGTGGCTCACACCTGTAATCCCAGCACTTTGGGAGGCTGAGGCGGATGGATCACAAGGTCAAAAGATCGAGATCATCCTGGCCAACACGGTGAAACCCCGTCTCTACTAAAAATACAAAAATTAGCTGGGTGTGGTGGCACACACTTGTAGTCCCAGCTACTCAGGAGGCTGAGGCAGGAGAATCGCATGAACCCAGGGGGCAGAGGTTGCAGTGAGCTGAGATCGAGCCACTGCACTCCAGCCTGGTGACAGAGTGAGACTCTGTCTCAAAAAAGAAAAAAAAAAAAAAAAAGACATTTCAGGCTGGGCACGGTGGCTCGAATCTGTAATCCTAGCACTTTAGAAGGCCGAGGCAGGTGGATCACTTGAGGCCAAGAGCTTGAGACCAGCCTGGCCAACATGGTGAAACCCTATCTCTATTAAAATACAAAAATTAGCTGGGCGTAATGGTGCATGCCTGTAGTCCTGGATACTTGGGAGGCTGAGGCAGGAGAATCACTTGAACCTGGGAGGTGGAGGTTGCAGAGAGCTGACATCATGCCACTGCACTCCTGGATGGCAGAGTGGGAGTGGCTTCGGGCAGCGGAGCTCATTCTAACCACAGGAGGCCAAGCCTGTGTGGGTGTTGTAGATGCTTCCTGTGCCTCCTGCCTTCCTCTGGGTTCCCTGAAATTGGAAGGATCCCTGAAATTGGAAGGATCCAGGGAGAGAAATGTTGGTTGTTCTGGGATCCTGAGCTGGGAGGGTCCTTAAAAAACAATAACAACCACCACCAAAGAAACCATTTCAAAAAAATGTATCTTCTTGCCTTTGAAAAATTTGCTGGTTGTGTTTAGATGTATGAAATATATTAACCTTCATTTACTCTCTGTCTTCAGTTGGATACAAAGTACCTGTCACCATTGTTGCTGGCTTATGAAGATATAATGAAAGAGAAGGACGAGCTCAATGCCACCCTCAAGGTAGGCTGGCACATGTCTCAGAAGAGACAAGATTTATAAAAATAGAGGACCGCTTCAAATTTTACAGAAACATTTTGAATGTGGATATGCCCAACATATTATAGTTAATCAAATGTTTACTAGAGGACAGAAAGGAGGAAAGAAGGAGTGTGGCAGGGTGGGATGGAGGGAGGGTGGGAAAGAAGGAAGAGGGGAGGAAATAAGGGAGTGATTGGGAGAGCAGGAGGGCTGGGTAGGGAGCAAGGGGAGAGGTCTGGAGGGCCAGGGCAGGGCTTCGTGGAAAGCCATGGCTTTCTGGACAGTGGGCCCATCTGGGCTGAGATCTTGGGGTGCAGGGAAGACAGCAGGAGGGAAACCCTTCTTCCCTGGTACTCTGCAGCTGCAAACACCACCATTAGAAGGACCATTTGGGCAGACATGGGAAGGAAATAGGCTAGAGATGTTTTAGGCAAACTTAGATGCTTCTTAATTCTGGGATGAGCTGACCCCAGGGAAGTCCGATTACTGAGCTGTTGGAAATGGATAGGAAGTGAGGTTTTTATCCATTTCTGCCTTGTCCTCCACCGCCATTTCATGGAGTGGCTTCGGGCAGCAGAGCTCACATTCTAACTGCAGCAGGCCAAGCCTGTGTGGGTGTTGTAGATGCTTTCTGTGCCTCCCGCCTTCCTCTGGGTTCCTCATTTAAGTGGCCATATAGATCCCTGAAACTGGAAAGATCCAGCAAGGGAAATGTTGGTTGTTCTGGGATCCTGAGCTGGGGAGGGTCCTTTAAGAGGCTTCCAGCTTGTTCCTTGTCAGTGATGCTATCCCGTGTCCATGTCCCATGGAAAGGAATTTTGCTCCTTTCCATTTAGTCTTAGTGTTGGACGCTTAATTTTCTAAGAGCATGAATAAGCCTTGTACTAATTGAATATATAACAATCCTAATAACTAATAATATTATTTTGGTGCTCCCTCTAAATCAGGGTCAGCACACACTTTCTGTAAAGGGCCAATTAATAAGTAATTTAGGCTCTGGAGGCCATGCAGTTTCTGTTTGCACCTGCTCAGGCCTGCTGTTGCAACGTGAAGGCAGCTGAAGATAACGTGTAGATAATGGGTGAGGCCGTGTTCCAATAAAACTTTATTTACAAAAACAGGCAGCTGGTTTGCACACTTTAGTTTGCTTGACCCCTGTTCCAAAAAAGAGTCACATGGACTGCCAGCCGTGAGTGAGTGTGTCTGCGTGGAGAGAGGAGAAGACACTTGGCAGTGCTGCTTTAAGTTAAAAGGGTGTAAGCATAAACACTGACAGCTGGGAGTGGAATATTTTAGAGGCACGCCAGAGTAAATATTGGCACCTCGGATTCTCACCAGAGGACAGCGCAGGACACAGAAACTGGAAAAGGCCTGATGGAGGAGGCTCAGCTGAAGTGTCACACACACAGACTGGTGGGAGCCGAAACAGACACAGGCTGTTAGGAGTCAAAACAGGTCTAGCCACAGACCTCATGTTGCGGCTGATGGCCGATGAGGCTCTGCACACTGATGGCGCTAGTAAGACACTTTCCAGTGGTTGTCAGGGACAAAACTAAGAGCCTTGGCCGAACGTGGTGGCTCATGCCTGTGATCCCAGCATTTTGGGAGACTGAGGCAGGAAGATCTCCCCTTCCTCTGCATTTCTCATGTAAGTGGCGATATAGATTGGCAGGATCCAGGTCGAGAAATGTTGGTTGTTCTGGGATCCTGAGCTGGGAGGGTCCTTAAAAAACAGTTAAAATTACCCTGGCATGGTGGCACACAATACAAAAATTAGCTGGGCATGGTGGCACACAAAGATACAAAAATTAGCTGGGCATGGTGGCACACAGCTTTGGTACCAGGTACTTGGGAAGCTAAGTTGGGAGGACTGCTTGAGCCCTAGGAGGTTGAGGCTGCTGTGAGGTATGATTACACCACCGCACCGTGGCCTGGGAGACAGAGCGAGACCCTGTCTCAAAACAAAAGAATAAAAAAATAAGAGCTTCCTCCAACTCCCACACTCACTAACCCTTTCCCCACCAAATCTAGCTTTAATTAAGGATGAAAAGTTCTTATTTTTTACATTAAAAACCTCCAGTTTTTCCTGAGTCTTTAAACAAAGGGAAAATGACAGTGTTGATGGGCACCTCTGCCTTTTCCGTCAGTGCTCGGCAGTTACAGAACAGCGTTATCAGATGAGGAATCGGATACTTGGAAGCCCGGGTGCTTTGCCTCTTGTACTTGGCCTTACATTTTGTCCTGGTGCTTTCTCACTAGACCATAAGCTCCCTGAGAGCAGGCACCGCTTGTGCTGGTACCGAGAGTCGAAGGCTGGCCTGTTGTGAGACTTTGCTAAAGGCTGTTATGTTTGATTTTAGCCACAGCAGCAGCGCCAGAACGGAGAAATAGAGATGCATGTGTATGTGTGTGTTGTAATTCACGTATATTTTATTTCAGGAGGAAATGAGAATGTTTAGGATGCGAGTCCAGGAAGTGGTGAAAGAAAATGAAGAATTGCACCAGGAGTTAAATAAGAGTAGTCCTGTTACCACTGAGGAATGGCAAGTGGTGTGGTGTTTCTGCTCTTTTGCTAATTTAAAACACGTGATAGGCTGGGCATGGTGGCTCATGCCTGTAATCCTAGCACTTTGGGAGGCCGAGGTGGGTGGATCACCTGAGGTCAGGAGTTCCAGACCAGCCTGACCATCATGGTGAAACCCCATCTTTAAAAAAGGAAAAAAAGAAAAGGTACACCAAAATTAACAGTATTTATCCCTGGATTATTGCTATAGATGTAATTTTCATTTTTATACNAAAAAAAAAAAAAAAAAAAAAAAAAAAAAAGAAAACACATGATAATAGGAAAATATGTTATAAAATTATGAAATACATAATTACATTTTTAACTTCAATATTTTAAGGGAGAGTTTCTAAGACATTCATAAGGTACAATAAAACCCTAATAAACTATTCTAAACTTATATTTTCAAGATGACTTTAAAAATTCTAAGTAGGTTCTCAAACCTGAAATATAGTTGCTTTCTGCTTTTTATTTTCTGAGGTGATATTTTTCTAGGGTGATTTTCTCATCTCAGACCTGGAGAGTCTCATCCCTTCTTAGGCCCCAGTGATAGCTCCCAGCGTTTGAGAACAGAAAGCTCAGGATGAGGCCTGGATGACTAGCTCCCATTCATCCTGCCCTGGCAGATACCCTGACAGCTGAGGTTGCCCCACTTCCAACCTGTCCTTCCTCAAAAGCCCCTTCTGCCCTCCTTCCCCTCTAGGATCCTGCTGGAATGGTGCCTTATCTATAGTGCTGCCTTCAGGAGAGGCCATTATTGCTCCCTGTGTCCCTCCCTCCCTCCTTCCCTCCGTCCCTCCCCCCTTCTTTCCTTTCTTGTTTTGAGACAGAGTCCTGCTGTGTTGCCCAGGCTGAAATGCAACAATGGCATGATCTTGGCCCACTGCAACCTCCACCTTCTGGATTCAAGCTATTCTGCCTCAGCCTCCCAAGTAGCTGGGACTTTAGGCACATGCCACCACGCCTGGCTAATTTGTATAGTTTTAGTAGAGACGGATTTCATCATGTTGGCCAGGCTGGTCTCAGACTCCTGGCCTCAAGTGGTCTGCCCGCCTTGGCCTCCCAAAGTGCTGGAATTCAGAGGCGTGAGCCACCGTACTCAGTGTCTCTGTTTCTGATGTTTTTTAGAGTTAGGGTCTAACTCTATTGCCCAGACTGGAGTGCAGTGGCTCAGTCATAGCTCACTGCAGCTTCAACCTTCTGGGCTCAAGCCATCCTCCCACCTCAATGTCCCAAGTAGCTGGGACTACAGGTCCATGCACTACCATGCCCAGCCAATTTTTTTGTATTTTTTTTTGCAGAGACAGGGTCTCACTGTTTCCCAGACTGATCTCGAACTCCTAGGCTCAAGTGATCCTCCCGTCTTGGCCTCCCAAAGTGCTGGGATTGTAAGCCACAGTGCCCAAACCCTTGTCTCTAGTTCTGATGTGGCCCTAAACACATGCCCTGGTCCCGGCACCTGCCACACTACACCTGCCTGTCCTGTCTGCCTCCACATCTGCCTCCTCCTTCTCCTTTGTGAACTCAAGGGCAGGAACCGATGTCCTGTTTATTTTCGTGTGTGGCCCCGCATCTAGCACAGCAACAGCAAATGCCTGTTAACTGAATTAGAGAAAGTACATGTCTTTAAAAGCCTAAAAGCAGTATCCAGGCAGGACTAAGAAAACCAAAACTACTCACTTTGAATAGGTATGTTATATTTAGTGTTTTCTAATGTCTTAACATCACTGGGGAAAATGAAATATTTTTTTAGATGTGATGTTTAGGAATCTAGAATTGAGTCAACAGCACTCTTACTATTGTTTATCCCTGATTTTGTGGTCACCGATGTGTCAGGTGGGCCTGGCCCGTGCAACTTCTGGGTCTTGGTGCTCTGTGGCCTCCAAATCCTGAGCTTGGATTTCCTTCCACCAGGGTTCCTAGTGTGTCTCCCCTCGTGCCCTCCTTGAACAGTGCCCTGGAAAGCAGCTTAGCCAGGCTGGGGCTCAAGAGACCTTGTGAGATTCCAGAACCCCAGATTCCTTGCCTAGCCTTGTATGTATGTAGCTACAAGTCCAACTTGTCTGCATTTCCTTAAAATGAAAACAACTACACAAAGGAAAGAAAGACAGGCCCTACTTTCAAATCCACAGCTCTTCAGTGTTCTCCAGTCCTGCCTTTGTTGGGATTTGAAGTCTGTCCTCTGCTCGAATGTTATGGCCCACACCGGCATGGGGAGAGCGTCAGGCTTGCTCGGGGCCTCCCTGGCCGCCAGCACCTTACTTTGAATTCACTGCCCTCCATCACACTTGGTGAGCAGAGCTCCTTGCTGCTCTCGGTACCTGTACGCGGCGCTCAGTACACAGACTCCATCTTACAGCAAATGCTTGCTTTTTTTTTTTTTTTT